CTGCACGCTGTGCCACGCCCCCACCCGCGCGGAGCCCTAGTCCTGCGCTTCGGGGGCGGGGCCCAACGGACGCTCCGCCCCCTTTTAAAGAAACGTTGCCGCTCGACTCTGCTGGACCCCTTAAAGAACCCCCACCCATTTTTCCAAATCCCCGGGGTCCCTCTCGTCCTCTCATCTTCCTTCCCCACTCCAAACGGTTCTTCCTATCTCCTTTTCCCCTTTCCCCGCAATTATTCCTTAAAGGGCCAAGATGCTAAAACCCCAAACTCAATAAGTCCTTCCTCAACCCCGTTGCAGGGGCAACCTGAGGTCACCCCGTTCTTGCGAGCCGGCCCGGCTCCAGGCGTCTAGGTTCGTCCCACTAATGGTCTGGTCCCTCCGGCCACAGGGCGGATGAGAGGGCTTCGATCCAACCCAGGACGCGCCTCCGCCAAGGCCGGGTCCATTAGCTCCCGCACCGCATCCTGCCTTCCCTCCCCCAGTCTCCGCTGGGAAACTGAGGACGGGCTGTCCTTGGGGCGCCAGGCCCAGGCCCTTCCCCAGCTGCCTTCCAGTTAGCGCCTGCATCTGCCCATTTTCCAGTCCCATCCATGAAGGTTTAATCTGGTTTAATTCTCAGTACTGCCCCTGAGATTCCGCCTCCGCCCCTCCCCCCGACATCTGGGACATCTGGGCCGTGGAGAAGGGAAGTCTGTCACCTCTCCCATAAAAGTCTGTTCACACCTTGTAAATCCCTTTGAGGTGCTGGGATGAAAGAGAAGAGGAGGCGCTAGGGATTCCCACCCCCATTCTCTCCGGCCTTTGGCGCTTTCTCTGTAGCTACAGAGAAGGCGGGGCCTCTTGCAGGGGGGCCCTTGGGGATACGTTCCCCTTACACAAGAGCACCCAGGCTCCCAGGACAGAGAGATACAGGTGAGCCCAGGAGAGCTTTGGGAGCCCACACTGGGACTGATGTCTCTGCTGGGACCTGGCCCCACCTGCTGGTGGCTTCTGAGCTAGAAAATGTCTGATTGCAGTTGGGCAACTGAACCCAGTGAGTTTAGTGGCTCGTCTGAAATGGGGGCTCAGCCTAGCAAAGTTCTGAGTTCACCTCTGCTCAGAGACACAAATTGGAATTGGGGTTCAACCCAGGTCAGCACCACGGTGGGGATAGGGTCTCAAACTGAGGCCAGAGGCTTAACCAGAAGGATTAGGAACCCAGTAAGGGGTCAGGTCCGATCTGGAGTCAGGACTAGTCCAGATCGGTGGCCTAAACCAGAGATTAAGCCTCAGTGTGTGGTGTGGGGGACGACGGGATGTCAGAATTTCAGGCTGAAGTTGGGACTCAACTTGCAGGGGGAGTTCACCTGGGGTCAGAGTTCAGCCCGGAGTCCGGTCTAGCCTGTAATCTGGGGGTGGAGCTCCAATTGCCTCACTCTGGAATAAAAGGCTTAACCTAAGGCTGGGGTCTCAGCCTGAGGTCATAGGTCATCCTGGGGTCAAACTTTAACCAGAGGCCAGCTTTAGGCCTCTCTGTGGACCAGGAAGATTAGGAAAACAGGTCAGGCCTGAACAGATGCGTGTGTTTACCAAAAGCCTGAGCTCTGGCTGGGAGCCACATCCCTGAGGCAAGAAGAGGAAGTCCGTCCTTGGCGATACTGGGAAATGTAGTTTATTTAATGCCTTGTTGCCCTTGTCTGCTCCCGCTGCATTCTGGGTAATGTAGTCCCGGACCGTTAAGACTGGGTGGAGAAATTCCGCTTCAAGGGCCGGATATCAGATCCATGACAATTGGTTAGATAAACTGCTCATTAAATCACATCCTGGACAATCTTTATAGCGATTGGTGAGAGTGAGCGCGGGGGTTAAGCGTTGTCGGCACTCCCATTCGGAACTGGTGCTGTCCATCGGGTGTCGTAAGTAGGCGGCCTTGCGGAGAGGCAATTGTTGATTGGCTGACGGACTGGAAATCCCGAAGCGCCGGGTCCCGTCGTTCGGCGATTGGCTCATCGGTGGGCGGGCTTGGGCGCCAGAGGCGGAGTCGGGGAGGCGGTGGCTCCAGAGATGGCAGTGAGCGAGAGGAGGGGGCTCGGCCGCGGGAGGTGGGGGCAGCGGCTACTTCTGCTGTTGCTGTTGGGCGGCTGCTCCGGGCGCATCCACCGGCTGGCGCTGACGGTGAGGCCCGCCGCGTGAGGGTCTGGGGTCGGGGGCGCAACTTTGTCTCGGAGAAGCCCCCTGGCTTGGAGTGGTCTCGTCTGCCCTCCCCCGCCCCCGACGCGGGATGGAGTGGTCCGGCGCCCCCCGTTTCCGGGCCCGGAGTGGTCTCGTCCCGGGATCCCCTTCCGTCCTCCGGATGGAGTTGCCGGGCCCGCATCGCTAGGGTCGGGCCCCTCCCTTCGGGGGCGTGGCTCCATCTCTTGGGGACTACACCCCCTCCCCTCGGGTTGGGTCTTAGTCCTTTAAATTCTTGGAATCACTTTTGGGGCGCTAAAGACCCTGAAGCCGCACAGCGGGGTCCTGGGGGGGGCTATAGAGTGGGGTCCTCGGGGCACTTAATGGGATTTGGGGGGGTTCCGTTGAAATGTTGCTGGGAGCTCAACTGGAATCTAAAAGTTCTTCCGGAAGGTGGCCAGGTCCTCCGAGGTGAATAACTGTTCTCTGGGTTGTGCTCATCCCAGTGGGGGGACTTCCACGTGCCCCAGGATCTCTGTTCCTGGGCTCAGAAGAGAAGTCGGAGAATGCAGGACCACCCTTTCCCTGCAGGGAGGAAGTCCCTCTCAACTTTCTCTTGTCATCCTTTGGGCCTTTCCTAAACAGAGGGGTACCAGGAGGCCCTTCGGGGGATCCTCGTGCCAGACTCCTGGGGCTGGGCAGAGGTCTGAACTGCCTCTGCCTCGTTGGTCTCCGGCAGGGGGAGAAGCGAGCAGACATCCAGCTGAACAACTTCGGTTTCTACACCAACGGCTCCCTGGAGGTGGAGTTGAGCCTCCTGCGGCTGGGCCTCCGGGAGGCAGAAGAGAAGTCCCTGCTGGTGAGGGACCTTGAGGAGTTTACTAAAGGAGAGCAGGATGCAATCCCCTGGTTCTGGGTTCCCAGCTCTGCCTCTACCCATGTAATCTTGTGCAAGTCCCGTGATCTCTCTGAGCCTGTTTCCTCATCTGTAACTGGGAATACTGATGTCTTAAACAGGATGTGCTAGGCACTTTTCTTAAGACTTGGGGGACAGGCAGGGCGCGGTGGCTCAGGCTTTGTAGTCCTAGCACTTTGGGAGGCCAAGGTGGGAGGATTGCCTGAGGCCAGGAGTTCAAGACCAGCCTGGGCAACACAGTGAGAACCCCCATCTCTACAAAAAGTTTTTAAAATTAGCCAGGCATGGTAAGGTGTGCCTGTAGTCCCAGCCAGTCGGGAGGCTGAGGTGAGAGGATCGTTTGGACCCGGGAGTTCGAGGCTGCAGTGAGCTATGATCCTGCCACTGTATTCCAACTTGAGAAACAGAATGAGGTCCACCCACCACCCCAACTCTGAAAATAAAAGAGAGAGTGTGTGGGATTTAGCACACATTAGGTGTTCAGTAAATGTGAGGTTAGGTTTCTATTGCTACTGAAAGGGATAGCTGGGAGTTCTCTACTGTCCCTCACACCCTCCCCTTTTTTTTCCATCCACCAGGTGGGGTTCAGTCTCAGCCGGGTTCGATCTGGCAGAGTTCACTCCTATTCAGTGAGTGGAGGGAATGGGGAAGACGGGAGAAGGGGCTGGAGGGAGGGGGAGGGGTCGGGGTCTGTCCTCTGCACCTGTAACCCAAAGGCCCCTGTTCTTTCTCAGAGGCAGGAACAGGAAGAGCCCCTGGGTGGACAGGGAGGGAGACAGGGTGGAGCTGGGCCAGGGGAGGAGTAACCAAGACTCCCTCCTGCCCACCGCCTAGACCCGGGATTTCCAGGACTGCCCTCTCCAGAAAAACAGTAGCAGCTTCCTGGTCCTGTTCCTCATCAACACCAAGGATCTGCAGTGAGTTGGGGACCGGGGGCTCGTTCAGATCCTTCCTCTGCGTTTCCCTGTGTGATGCCCACAGGCACCCGGGCTGATCAGGTGGGACGAGAAGCAGAGAGAGAACGCCACTTACTTTTTAGTTTTGCCTTCAAGTCTTCTGATTATTGGAAGGAAGGAGAGAGGGACTCAGCGGGTGTTGGTGTCTCAAGGCAGAAGGCCCGGATACAGAGGGCTGTTGTGAGAAGGAATAACAACTGTTCGCACATGTTGAGTGCTTCTGGTTTGCCAGGCTGTGTCCTGGAGCTTTAACACATTAACTCATCGATTCCTTATTCCTGTGATCATCTCTGCTCTTCAGATGAGAAAACTGAGTCCCAGGAACTGGGATTTGGAGCCAGGCAGCCTGGCCAGGGTCTGACAAAACCATATTGCTTTTCTGTAGATAAAATGTTTTATTTTTAAATAATATACTTAGGGCCGGGCGATGGCCCATGCGTGTAATCCCAGCACTTTGGGAGGCCAACGTAAACGGATTGCTTGGGCCCAGGAATTGTAGACCAGCCTGGGCAACATGGCAAAACGTTGTCTTTACCAACAAAAAATATACAGGAATTAGCCAGGCATGGTGGTGCACGCCTGTAGTCCCAGCTACTCTGGAAGCTGAGGTGAGAGGATCGCCTGAGCTGGGGAGGTGGAGGTTGCAGTGAGCCAAGATTGCACTGCTGCACTCCAGCCTTGATGACAGATCAAGAGCCTGTCTATTATCATTATTATTTTTATAAAGTAGGGTTGGCCACAGTGGCTCATACCATTATTTCCAGTGCTTTGGGAGGCTGGCTGAGCCAGGAGGATCACTTGAAGCCAGGAAAACAAGACCAGCCTGGGCAACATAGGGAGACCCCGTCTCTATAGAAAATTTAAAAATTAGCCAAGCACGGTGGTGATACGTGCCTGTGGTCCCATCTACTCCGGAGGCTGAGGTGGGAGAACCGCCTGATGCTAGGAATCTGAGGCTGCAGTGAGCTGCGACACACACAGTGTTCCAGCTTGGGCGACAGAGCGAGACCCTGTCTCTAAAGAAAAGAGAAAAAGAGTAGATTGATGTCATGGGAAATGACAAATAATTGCTGGTGCAGGCAGCACAGGAAGGCGGTCGCCGCCTTGACCAGTGGGAACCAAAGGCTGAAACTCAGTGATAACTGACTCGGCTGGACCCCCGCCCCGCAAGAGGGTGCCAGAGGCCACTGAGTCCTTGCCTGGGCTTGTGTGCCTGAGCCAGGTTCGGCCCCCCAGCCTCAGGCCGCACCCCACCCTCCCCGCAGGGTCCAGGTGCGGAAGTATGGAGAGCAGAAGAAGTTGTTTATCTTTCCCGGGCTCCTCCCCGAAGCGCCCTCCGGACCAGGGCTCCCAAAGCCACAGGCCACAGTCCCCCGCAAGGTGGATGGCGGTGAGTCAGGCTGGCTGTGCCGGCAGGGGTGGATGGGCAGGTCTGCCCTGTGCACCCCCCATCCCATTTTCCTGCCGCCCCTCTATCCATCCATCTCTTGAAATCACTGCCTGGTCTCTTACAGGAGGGACCGCTGCAGCCAGCAAGCCCAAGTCCACACCCGCAGTGCCTCAGGTTTCAGGGAGGTGGGGCGGGAGGGAAGATGGCACACCCCAGGGCCCTGCGGGGACCCAGAGCCAGCTGATGGAGGGGCTCTGTCCCTTCAGGGTCCTAGCGGGAAGGACAAGGAGCTGGTGTTAGGCCTGAGCCACCTCAACAACTCCTACAACTTTAGTGTGAGTGTCTGCAGTGCCTGCGGCCCTACTGTGTCCCCAGAGCACGGGACCCCCAGGCTGAGCCCTCCTGCGGCCCTACTGTGTCCCCAGAGCACGGGACCCCCAGGCTGAGCCCTCCTGCGGCCCTGCCGTCACCCCAGAGCACGGGACCCCCAGGCTGAGCCCTCCTGCGGCCCTACTGTCACCCCAGAGCACGGGACCCCCAGGCTGAGCCCTCTTGCAGCCCTACTGTGTCCCCAGAGCACAGGACCCCCAGGCTGAGCCCTCCTGCAGCCCTACGGTCGCCCCAGAGCACAGGACCCCCAAGCTGACTGTCGCCCCAGACCACAGGACCCCCAGGCTGAGCCCTCCTCTCTCCCCCGCCCAGTTCCACGTGGTGATCGGCTCTCAGGCGGAAGAAGGCCAGTACAGCCTGAACTTCCACAACTGCAACAATTCAGTGCCGGGAAAGGAGCATCCATTTGACATCACGGTGAGCGGAGGGGAGGACAGCAGGGCCAGGGAGCACCCACTGCGGGCCTGGAGCACCACACCCCACTTAGCTTCTCCCAGCTCTCCCGGATGCGGAGTAGGAGCTGTTATACCCATTTGGGAGATGGGGCCAACTGAGGCTCAGAGTGGATGAGTGGCCCAGTAGAAAGTGGGAGAGCAGGAGACCCCCACTCGCTGCTCTCCCAGGCCAGAGGTCAGGCTGTGCCGCTGCCACCGCCACCCACCACTGTCCCCTCCCCAGGTGATGATCCGGGAGAAGAACCCCAATGGCTTCCTGTCGGCGGCGGAGATGCCCCTTTTCAAGCTCTACCTGGTCATGTCCGCCTGCTTCCTGGCCGCCGGCATCTTCTGGGTGTCCATCCTCTGCAGGAACATGTAATGCCCCTGCCCCTGGGGGTCCCCCCTGTCCCTTCACCAGACCCCCATCCCTATGCCCTGCTGATGCCCCCCACCCCATCTCTCCCTGACCCTCCCACCAGGTATAGCGTCTTCAAGATCCACTGGCTCATGGCGGCCTTGGCCTTCACCAAGAGCATCTCTCTCCTCTTCCACAGTGTGAGAGCCTTGGACCGGGGGGCAGCGGGGGGTGGGCTGGGAGGAAGAGACCATCTGGGCCATCCCCCAAATCTCTGCAGACCCTGGGCTTGTGGGAGGGCCATCCACCAGCTCTCCACGTGTCCACCCATTTTACCAGTGTGGCCAGCCGCCCGTCCCCTCTGTCCGCCAGTCCTGCTGGGCAGCTCTGTCCGTCACTGTCCCTTGGTTCAGCTGTGACCGTCCGTCTCATTGACTGTCCAACCATTCACCCTTCCAACTGTGACCGTTCCCTCCATTTTTTCAGCCCCAATTACCAGTTTTGAGTCCCACCCACCGTCCTCATTATTCACCTTTCTGACCACCCATCTGATGGTGACGGTCTGTGTTCCTAATCCCGCCCCCACCACCACCACCAGCCTCCCACCCCTCCGTGTGCCTCACTGCCCGTCTGTCCGTCCACCCCCAGATCAACTACTACTTCATCAACAGCCAGGGCCACCCCATCGAAGGCCTTGCCGTCATGCACTACATCACCCGCCTGTGAGTGCGCCCGCTCTGCCTGGCAGCTGGGGGGACGCGGGCAGGGGAGGGCGGGCCCCCCACCTCATCATCACATCGTCCCCTGCTCCCCCAGGCTGAAGGGTGCTCTTCTCTTCATCACCATCGCCCTGATCGGCTCAGGCTGGGCCTTCATCAAGTGCGTCCTGTCGGATAAGGAGAAGAAAGTCTTTGGGATTGTGATCTCCATGCAGGTGCAGATGGAGCGGCCTCCGGCGCAGGGTGGGGAGGGCTGTACGGGGCGGTGGGGGCAGAGGGAAGCGTGCCGGGCAGTGCCCACCCACCCCCGCCACCTGCGCAGGTCCTGGCCAACGTGGCCTACATCGTCATCGAGTCCCGCGAGGAGGGCGCCAGCGACTACGTGCTGTGGAAGGAGATTTTGTTCCTGGTGGATCTCATCTGCTGCGGCGCCATCCTGTTCCCCGTAGTCTGGTGAGGACCCTGCCCC